TTTATCAACTGGTCGTGTTTTTCATGCTGAAATTCTAAGACATCAAATATCATTAAATGAAAACGAGAATGAAAATGAAAATAACAGCAATGAATTCATAACTAATTCTGATGTTCTTCTCATTGCTTTTCATCATGCAGCATATGATCGAGCAAGTTCTCCGATCTTTTTCAATGATCTATGTTTAGCTTATAATACTAACGCAACATCAATAGAAGATGATGAACCATTGCAATATATTGATTATAGTATACATGAACACCTAATTGATATGGCAACATCTCGTGAATTTTGGTATTTACAATTAGAAGGATACAATTTCGAGTATCAATTATCATTACCAGTTGATCGACGTCGTTTGACTAATGATCATCGATCGAGTTCTGCTTGTACCACTCAGATCTCTTTTGAAAACGAGATTTCACAATCATTTCTTGATTATGCTTCTATACATCATGTGACACCATTTCAATTAGGTATAAGTATATTATGTGCTTTTCTTTTCAAGTTAACGCACGATGAAAATGATATATGTATTTCTTGCTTTAATGCTAATCGATACAAAACGGAATTGCAGAATATAATGGGAATGTTTGTTTCGACATTACCATATCGTATGCAACTTGATCCTCGATCGTCATTTGATGAACTTGTTAAATATGTGCAAGAAAAATGTTTATCAATTCTTGAACATTCTCATTATCCACTTCAACATATTCTTGCTGACTTGCATATTAATCAATCAAATATTTCATTTCTTGAAGCAATGTATGACTTTATAACTATATCATCACACAGCGATGAATTATCTTTGGATGGAGCAAGTCTCAAACACGTGTCATTTGAGCGATCGTTTGAAGTGGCTAAGTTTGATTTTATGTTAACATTTATCTATAATCCAATGTTGGAAAACAATAGATTATTATTTCTTTTAACTTGCTCACATGATCTGTTTGATGAGATTACAGTGACAAAAATAGGTCGAAGATTGGAATATTGTTTTCAACAACTTTTTTCGTCGAATCAAACTATTAATCAAAGTGATACATGTTTTACATCTATATCGAAATTTAATCTTATTCTACCAGAAGAAACTCAAGAAATGGAAGATATTATCTTTTGTCGACAATCACATATTATAAACGAAGGTATGTTTAAACTAGGCATAGAGTTTTTCTTAATTAACATTCATATTGACAATCAACACATTATGCAAAAATATCTCTGCAAATATGTTCTTATATCATTCAGATCATCCTAGAACCAATGCTCAACCATTGAGTATCGGTGAGACTGTGAGTGGATGTGAATGTGGATTTTTTATTCATATAAATACACATCCACCCACCCATCTACACTCACACCCACACACACCCTGTTTATTTATTCGTAACTACAGCGATTTTGTGTTTTATATTTTAGACTCAGAGACCGCACTAATAGTTTTCTTCCCTGTCTTTCACAAATGTTCATAAAAATACTTCTATTTATGAATTGTTGACCCTCCATATCTGATTCGATTTTTTCTCGCTTTCATATCTATATCATTTCGTTAGTTTTGAAACTCAAGAATGATTGCTAAATACTAGTATTTCTAAACCAACTGGTTTTTTAAAAATAATGTTAAATTTTAATGATATTGATAGTATAAATAACATCGAATAGTCTGACCTAATCGTGTTTGTGATTGTTCTTAATAAAGTTGAACACCATGCTTTTAAAATAAGCGTACTTGAGATTAATAAGAACGTCGCAACTCACAATCTTTGTGAATAATGTTACTGGATTTTTTCCATTTTTGAACGAGTATATTTCGTTCCCTTAGTTTCACGTCTCTTATCATGCAAAAAAGGAACATTAAGAATATGATTAGATATATCTTCGAGTGTCTATACTGCTAGATGCTTTGGTAAGAAGCAAACCGGTACAATCAATAAAAATGTCTTTCTATATCGATAATTACAATGATGATAGCCATGAAGGTGATTACAACTGTTATTATTATTGAAAAATAATGGTCACATCGATCTTTGATCTTTTCTTTCGTTAGTCTACCTTAATTAATCACGCTCGTAAATTTTTTATTATTCAGATACGAGTATTATACTAGATCACTTATGTAATATAAATCATCGTTTAAGAGCATATATGATTGCTTCAGTTGCTTGTATATACGAAACTCAGTCAGAAGTTTTATCTTGACGGGCTGATTAAAAAGAGCATTAGATTTTTTTGGATTTGTGTCTCGATAGGTCAATACTTCTATATTCGATATGGATTACATGCACTAAATATTAATACTCAAAGAAGGAATATTTTGTGACTTCTATTGTTTACAGTTAATTTAAAGCATATAAATACTTTGCGTGCATTATTATTTAGATGTCACAAAAGTTCATAGTTTTCTTATAGAATTATATTTATACTTTTTGATTTGTTCATATCCTCATGTAAACCATGATCTCAACTCCATATATCTTTACTTTTTTCTGACTTTTTGTACAGAGAGTTGTTCTAAAACAAAGCATAATGAAAAAGATATTGGTCTTTATATTTAGCAATAGCAAGTTTACACACCAGCGTCACAAGAGTATATAAGAGGTATTAGTATTTTCTGCGACAAATTCTTTTAGCCGAAGTTGGTAATATGCGCCTTTCATAAGTATTGATTTCTAGCATAATATTATCTAATTATGGAATTAACCTATGAATCCATAATGAAAACTTTAACATGGATTCGCTTTTTCCTTATTTTTTGTCCACTCTAATCCAAATCAACAATGACATTAGTTTATGTTGTTTTATAAAAACAAGCTTTGCACAACTTCAATGCTTTATAGTATCCATTTTACATGGATCAGTATCCGTCTCCTGAAGTCGAATCGAGTTCATATTTTCTTTCTCGTAGAGAAGAGTCCAGTAAACATAAATTGTCTGCTTGTGTGTCCGCAGGGCCAAAAAAGACATTTCTTGAGGTATTTCGATACAGAGACTTCGGATCTGAGGTCCGTTGAGTGACTGTGTGGATGGAGGAGAGCGTGAAGAGGGATCAAAGGTAAAAAACATCGAAAATCAGTTTTTTACGGTTCTCATTTGTTTTTCCAGGAAATGTGAAGAAAATGCATTTCTACGAGAAAGAACTAAGCGAGTCTTCGGACAAGCGTTACTTGTGTAATATAAACTATCGATAGAATAGTACATAACTATATAGTAGTTTTTCTTAAACATACAGCAACGTTTAAAAGTCACTGTGATACGAGAAAAATGAGCGAAACAGTTAATATGAGAAGCTTTCAGAATTGCATAGTTGAATTTATTCTGGTATCGAAGCTTATATAATGTCACATAATTGAAAATCCGTACTTTCAGAGATGTAATAGTAGTCTTCTGACAAATCTTATTAACTGATTCCAAGTAAAAATTTATATAAACTTAATGATTTAACAAAATTTAATGTTA